TCGTCCACCACGGCGCCCGCCCCGCGCTCCTCGCGGCCCACGGAGAAGGCGTTCACGGTGCCCATCACGGACGTGACGGAGAACGCCCTCAAGGACCTGGACGACGTCATGAAGACCACCAAGATCATCATCGGCTGCTTCGTGGCCATCACGTTCATGGCCGCCGTGATGCTCGTGGCCTTCTACAAGCTGCGCAAGCAGCACCAGCTGCACAAGCACCACGGGCCCACGCGCACCGTGGAGATCATCAACGTGGAGGACGAGCTGCCTGCCGCCTCGGCCGTGTCCGTGGCCGCCGCCGCTGCCGCCGCCGGTGCGGGCGGCGTCGGCGGGGACAGCCACCTGGCCCTGCCCGCCCTGGAGCGCGACCACCTCAACCACCACCACTACGTGGCGGCCGCCTTCAAGGCGCACTACAGCGGGAACCCCAGCGGCGGGGGCTGCGGGGGCAAGGGCCCCCCGGGGCTCAACTCCATCCACGAACCTCTGCTCTTCAAGAGCGGCTCCAAGGAGAATGTGCAAGAGACGCAGATCTGAAGCCGCCCGGCGGGGCCCCCCACCCCGCCGGGGCTCGGGCCACACCGGGACCCTCCCCACGGCCCCGGGCCCGCGCCTGGACCGCGCAGGGAAGGGCGGGGAAGGAGGGGCCGCAGCCCCGCCCGCGTGCGGACCCCAGGGCGGCTCACCCCCGCGAGGAACGGAGCCCCCGCGGTTCTGGCCGCACCCCCACCCATCCCCGGCGAAGGGAGGGGCTGCAGGATTCCGGAGAAGTGGCTGGAGCCCTCCGCTTTGCCTCCTCGCGCTCTCAATCGACCCTTCCCGGCCCTCCGCCTTCCAGGAGAGAGAGGAGCTTTTTGGGGGTGTCCTTTCCCCTCATCCCCAACGACCCTCCTTTTACGGTTCATTTTTTGCAGTTTGACGCCTGTCCCCCCTCCCGCCCCTCTGCCCTCGAAACTGAAGAGACAGACGCGCGGTCAGAGCCTCCAGACACCCTACCCCGCCCCTCCCCCCTTCACCCCCAGCCCTCACCTGCCCCACAGACTCTTTTGATACTGAAGGGAGGTTTGCGTCAACGACTACCTGCTCTGTAATTACTTTAAAAAAAAACACGGAAAAAGTAAAAAAAAAAAAAATTTTTTTTTTTTTGGTCATGAAAGCATGGAGGGCAGAGAAAACAGTGAATGTGGGCGGGGGCACAATGAGGATGGAAAAGTCAAGTGTTACGGGCCCCACCCGGAGGGTCACAGGGGTCAGCACCTCCAGGTACTCTTAGGCCCCTCACCCTTGACCTCGGGAGCCCCAGAGAGGGGCTCAGGCACCCAGCACATCCGAATGTACTGGGGCCCTCGTCCCCACCCGCCCCCCCACTCATGCCGCCGGCGTTCCATGGGCTGGGGGCTGGGCAACTCCTAGTTCCGGATCCAGGAGTCCAGGATCAAGGTGTGGGCAGGGCCATGCTCCCTCTGGAGCCTGTGGGGGAGGATCCTTCCTTGCCTCCTCCAGCTCAGCTATACTCCAGTCTCCACGCACCCTTCTCCCCGAGTCTCCCCCTCGTCTTCCTTGCACGCATGCTCGTCTCTGTCCAAATTTCCTTATAAGGACACCGGTCATATGGGATTAGGGCCCACCCTACTCCAGCAGGACCTCATCTTAACTTGATCATCTGCAAAGACCCTGTTTCCAAATAAGGTCACACTCACGGTCCTGGAGGTCAGGACTTCAGCATCTTTTCAGGGGACACAATTCAACCCAGAACAGCCAAACCAGAGAGCGTCCGGCCCCTCTGCAAACCCACAAGCCACTGCAGGGAGCGAGGGGGTCAGGCCGAAAGGGGGAAGGCAGGCCGGGCGCAGGGAGCTGCTCTGCCGTCTTGCTTACACAGAGGCAGGAGGGAAGGGAGCAGGAGGGGGCCGCGCTGTCACTCAGAAGCTCAGGGGCTCATGCCCCAGGAGGGAACAGGAGCCAGCAGGTGGGAGCGAACCCCGGGGGTCGGCCAGGACAGGCGAGTGGCTGCTGGTGGGACCCGCCAGGGCTGCCGTCTTGTGCTGTCGAGCCCCGCACAGGCCGAAGGAAGCAGAGGGTCCACTCAGGGCCGCTCCCCGCAGACGCGGCCCATGGACACGCAGGGCTGGGCCCTTCTCTTCCCCTCGGCACAGCCGGACCCCCACCCTCGGCAGGCCTGGGCCCTGTGTGCTCTGTGCCCCCTTCTCTGGCTGCCTGTGCGCCACAGCGTCTTATGTCTCCCCCACCTGGGACTCCTCCTAAAGCACATTCTTCCCTTAAGGGCCCGACAGCCGCCCGCCTCTGCCGCGATGGCCGTCTGGGGTCTCTGGCCCCGTCTGCGTCTATCTGCTCCTGCCTGTCGACCTGGGACTCTCGGAGCCCGGCTCCCCGTCGCTCCCTTTCATGCTCTCTTTCTCTCCCGTCCTCTTTCAGCGCGATCCTGGTTGCCATGGCAATACTGCAGCGGGTACCAGGTGGTGGCTGGGGGCAGGGAGCCGCACCGCCGCTGCAGCCTCCGCGGTCTCCGATGCCAGGCACCTGCAGGGCGCCTTGGCTGGGCCTCAATTTGGGGGGACCTCGGGGCCTCCGCGGGCCTCACGGACTTCTCCGTGGACAATGGGAGGTGGGGGGGGCGGGGTGTGGGAGTGAGAGTGCGGTATTGGGGGGCTGGTGGCATCGTGGCTGGGAGAGGGGTGGATGAAAGGTTAGAAGTCAAGGTGAACTGCTGGGTGGCCAGACTGGAGCCGGGCTGGGGGCGGGGGCGACAGGGCTGGGATGAGCCGGGCTCCAGCTCCTGCTGCCTGTGGGAGATGGGGCGCGACCAGGCCAGGCCTCCCTGGGAACTTGGTGTGGGGAGGAAATGCGGGCCTGGCCCAGCTGGGGACAGAATGGCAGCCAGCCCAGAGAAGGCGGGGCGGGACTGGAGGGCTGGAGGTCCAGGGAGAGGCCCGGAGACAGACACAGGATGGAGGGAGAGAGTCAGGGACAGAACCAAGGGAGGAAAAGATGGAGGAGGAATGTTGACAAGAAACACCGGTGCCAAGACATGGGATTGGGGGGTGGGTAGCAGGCCTGAGGGTGGGGACCGGAAACTCAGGAGCAAGGGACAGACTGGGAGCCCAGAGTCCCCATCAGCATCTCCTCTCTCTCGCTCCCAACCCTCTCTACCCCCATCCCAAGCAGGATGCAGTTTCCATGACAACCTGGCTGGCCAGAAAGGGGGGCTGGGGACTGCAGAGGAAATTTTCCACATCAGCAGGAAGGGAGGAGGGTAGAAAGCAGGGAAGGAAGGGGCTGGGTATGGTGGGGGCCACGCAGGGCCCTGGAACCCCAAGTCATCGTGCCCACTGCCCCAGGATCCTCACCCCCACTCCCCACCCCCAGCAAACCTGCATGGTCTCCACTGGGCCGCTGTGGGGAAGGGGGAAGGTTCTGGAGAGGATCAAGGGTCAAATGTCCAAAGATCAGCCACTGCCCAGGCCTCAAGGGGAGGCGGGCAGTGAGCAGCTCACAGAGCTCAGGCCTCACGCAGACCACCAGATTCAAGGGCATGGCTCTCGACAGGGTCCCGAGGAGGGTAGGGGTGGTGGGCTACGGCCGCCTTGGTGAGTCACTGACCCTCTGGGGCCTCTTCTCCAGGCCCCTTCCTGAAGCCCCCAAAGCCCTTTGTCCTCCACAAACACACTTCATGTGTGTCTTTATCTGCACCCTGGCTCTGCCTCTGTGTCTGCCTGAGCACCATCCACTTCCCACCACGGG